AAAGAGGAATTAGTTTCCAAAAGCAAAACCTCAAAAATGCAGCCACCTTGAGCGGCGCAGTTCTAGAACTACGCACCAGGATGTTAGGGGCCGTTTACACGGCGCGTATCTTGAGTGCATCCGCAGCTTTCTCTCTGCGGATCATTTACAGACACCAGTGACCCCTCTCTTTGAATCCGGAGGTTTCTGAACCTACCTTCCAAAGTGGAAGTTTTTCGCTGAGCCCCCTTTGATAATGTAAACATCTCGCTCTGAGCTCCCGCAGAGACTATGTGTTAAACCACATGTGCACACGCACGCGCGGACCGACGCTATATTTCTATCAACATGGCGGCAGATGCACTGCTTTCTGAACTACGACTGATCTCGTAGTTAATCTACGTCAGATTCCAGGTGCTGTGACCAACATCTGTGTTGGAAGAGACACAATCTGATCCAGTTCTAATGTCGCCGTTTATAGAACGTGGCACGCGCACAAGTCGCGCTGCACTATAACATTTAAATGTGCTAAATAACAAGTTTTATAATAATAAAACAGTATTTATCTTAAGTTTGAGATATATAATGAAGCTCTGAGCTAAATGAAGCTATCGGGACATTATGTAATTCAAATGATGCTAAACATATTGCATGCTGTTAACATTGAAAATGAAGACATCAGGTTTAATTTTTATTTTATTTATTTATTCAACACCACAAACTGACAATTAAACTGAACATTGAATGGATTGAATAAAAGAACTGAGGGGAACTTTAAATAAATAGTTCATCCATCATCTCTCTTCGACGTCCTGCTGCCGAGCCTCGTTCAGAACCGGTCCGCCTGGTGGGAGACGGCTCCTTCTTTCAGGAAAAATAAAAACTCGGTTGTTTTGTAACCGAAGTAAACACAAGCTAACATTATTAAGAACGTTGATTTACCTGCTGTAAACCAGCTACTGATTATCATGGAGTAAAGTCCAACATAGTCGACTCGGTTCTGGTCCACTCAGAGACCGGTGTGGAGCTGTTAGATGAAGCGGTCCCGCTTGGCGTCAAATCTGTCGACTCTTTTATCCACAATCCAGCCAGAATGCAGCTTTAACTTGTTGTTATGTTGTTAGCTGAGCTTTTTAGCTCACAGGAAAAGAGCGTGCCGAGGCAGCACGCATGCGCATTAGGTGAAGGTACAAAATTCACAGCGCCATCTAATGACCTGGCATGGTAACTACAGCGGATTCGGGAGGGCGGGGTGGGGAATCTTGCGGATGCATGTAAACACAGAGCCCTATAAATAGACTTTATAGGGCTCTGTGTAAACCCAAAATACTACAGTGTCAACGCGGATCTTTTCCTCTAAGTTACATACGAAAAAAAAACTACGTTTCTCCACATCGTGTCCTTGTAAATAGGGCCTAAGACTCGCTCTCATTCAGCAGCCAATCATTAAAATATGTTCATATAGCATGTAGTCATTTAAGTTGCACATTTTTAACCCAACAGTGCTATTATAAAGTGTACACATAATATTACTGCATGCTTGTAAAATGTATTTCGAATTATTAATCAAGTTTTTCTTTTTCGTTACCTTGGTGGGTTGTTGTCCTCTTGACAGTGGAGCTGAGGTCTGAGGACTCCTCAACTTAAAGCAGCTCATCAGACTCTACCATGTGCTCGTTATCTATGGGGTCAATTACTTTGTTTTGTGTTCAGTCCTCACTGTTGTTCATTTGTCTTTTCTCCTTTGTGTGGTACTTGGTTTGGTCTGTTTTTCCCCTGCCCTCACTTCATTTTTTTACACTTTACATAAAAATGTTTACAAAGAAAGTAAAGAACATTCAGTAATGGGGACAATAACTAATACTCTGAATTTAGGGTTTACATATCAGGACATAGGCCTAATAAAAATAATAAAAAAAACAACAACATTGGTTTTATAGTAATAGTTTATCAAGGTCTAAACATACTGAAATCTAACCTCAAGTAACACAAAGCAGATTTCACCGTGTCGTTAAGTAACAAACAGAAACGAAGCCACAAATAAAAGCAGTGTGTGAAAACCTGAATCCACTCCATGATTCAATAACTTGCAGAACCTCCTTTAGGAGCAATAACAGGAAGTGTTCTGTAGAACTTTATTTTTTCTTTGTTAATCTCTTGCATGCTTATGGAGGCATTTGGTTCCACTCGTCTTTACACAACTGCTTCAGTTAACTGACATTTGCAGAGATTTATTTCAGCATAGATCTCTTGAGGTCCTGCCACATTATTTTATTAGGGTTAAAGTCTGGACTTAGAGAAGATCACTGCAAGACCTAAAGGTCTGTTCTTTTTGAACCATTCTGTTGTAGATTTGATGCTGTGTTTGGGATCGTTGTCCTGTTTCATGACCCAGTTTGGTCCAAACTTCTGCTGTTGGACAGATGGTCTCACTTTAGTTCTAAGAATCCTTTGGTCTACAGAGGACTTGATGGTTGACTCGACGACTGCAAAGTGCCCATGTCCTGTGGCTGTAAAACAAGCCCAAACCATCACCCCACCACCACCGTGTTTGACAGTTGGTATAAGGTGTTTGTGTTGACATGCTGTTGAGTCCTCTCCTGACAAGGTGCTGTGCATTGTGGCAAAAACTTCAGTTACACCTGTCCAAAGGACATTATTCCAGAAATCTTGTTGTTCAGTCAGATAAAACTTTACAAACCTAAGTTGTGCTGCCACATTCTTTGAAGAGGAAAGAAGCTTTCTCCTGCAGCCTTTTCAAACAAGCCATACTTGTTCAGCCTTTTTCTAATTTTGCCCACAGACATTCAGGTCTCTGCTGTTTTGGTTGTGAATTTGTTATTGTATTTTAATCTTTCAATACGTTATCTAAAATTTCTCTCAATTTTCTAACTATTGTTGTGTATAAAGTGTGTTAGTTTTGACTCTGTCTTCATTGTGTTACAGAAGCAACTGAGGTGGCAGAGTGGACTTTGGGAAAAGTGGCAAGAAGTTGTTATATAGTACTCTTAGACATACATACTATTGCTGTTTTAAGTGTAAGTGGGTAAGATGGTGGAGGGTGGTTCATTGCAATAATTTTTCTACCTCAGTAAATACATTTTCTTCCTTGATCTAGGGTCCCGTTCAACCAACTCTATACTCGTAAACAGGTTGTATTGTTTTAGCTGTTGACATGAGCCTTGCATGAATTCATTTTAAATTGTTTGCAAGTAATAAAGGTTACAACTTGTTCTATTTGATTTGTTATAATAAACATTAAAATAATGTGGGATGTTCTGTTCTTCGCCTCTTTCATGACACCGGTCAAATGAAATTTTGAGAAAATATTTAAGGCACTTTTGAGTAAATCTTTTTTTTGATTGTTAGAAGTAGAAAACACCAAGCTGATGACATTTTGACCTATAGGTGGGTCACACTAAGTTATGCTGTCATATTCTGTTTTTACGGAAAGTGAAGAGAGAGGAGGCTTTTGTCCTCTAACCCTTTTAAACAAGTCATACTTGTTCAGTCTTTTGCTAAGGATTTGTACTGACCTAAAACATTTTTTCTACTAACTGAGGCATAAAAAGTCTGAGATGGAGCTCTGGTATTTTTATTTATTGATTATTTTTTGACAATTTCTCTTAGAATTGCTTGGTCTGGCCTTGGAGTGAATTTGCTGGGACATTTCTTATGGTCCCAACTTTTAATGCCTATTCATTTCACATTTGTATTGCAGTAATCTGTTTAAATGTCAAATTTGAGGTCAGTCTTATTACAGTTTTGTGCTGAGTAAATTATTTAAAGAAAAATGGAACAATATGTTTAACCACATTACCAAGATTCTGTACTGAAAAGTGATTTACGATGTTTCTCATTCACCTGTTCACTTAGTCACACAGCGATTTTCTTACATTTATTTTACACTTGTAGGTGAAAATTTATATTTTGTTACTGATTCTAGTATCATGATTGGTTAGTTGTTTTACACAGAGTACCGTAGACTGACAAAGAGAGAACCGACCACACAAAATAAAAAAATAATTTATTTACTCTGTCCAAGTAGAGTCTCTGAAAGGGAACATAGATCAGGTGAGTATGTTGTTTAGGTATTTTAAGAGGAATATAAGTACAGGACGATTTGCTTACTTCCTCTCTACATTGACGGAGATGATGAGTGTGAAAAGTGGGAGAGTAGCAGGACCGAGACCCAGAAAACTGATCCAATGATGTTATTGTAGGATGATGGCAAGGAGAGCCAATGGTGTCCAGACTGTGGCTCCACAATGAAATGCTGCGTTGCAGGCATGAGAAGTCATGATTTTCATGTAGGAAAACACAGGAACAGGACTGAAGGTAGTGCAATTATCCAGTAGAGAATATCTGAGCCCAAGGTCATTAAATACTCCCAGAAGCTTGTAACCCAAGATCAGAGTCAGCTATGGACCATTAGTCGCCATGCTGCATGCTGCCACTCAGGAGCTGCAAAGAACTGGATAATCAATATACTGGAATCCCACATCCAGAGAATATTTCCAGCTGTGGTATGTGATCAATAAATCATAATAGATTATAGGTTGTAAGTTCAATCATCCAGGTAGATGACAACAAAAATGGTTAAATCATGTCATCTGGACCAGTTTCTTTAAGTGAGAAAAGTTTTGTCCCCCATCCAGTAGACTTCCTCAATCTACAGCTTGCCAGCTAGATCTGTCCATGGTCCAGAAGACACGATTCAACCTTTTTTGTTGTTATCTACCTGTATGATAGAACTTACAATCCTTTTCTGAAACACTTTGGCATTGTATCCTGATGCATGCTCAATAATCCAGGTAGAAAAATCCCAAAAAGTTCAATCTGGTCCTCTGGACATTCAAAAAAAAAATATATATATATAGAAACGTTTCGTCTCTCATCCGAGAGACTTCCTCAGTCTGAGGAGCTGTATTCAGCTCAGTCTTATAAATAGCACCTTCTCAGAGTGGATCAACCAGTTTGCTGCTGACAACCAAAACCAGCTGATCACATGCTCAAGAAGGACCATCAGCCTAACAAAGGATCATTAGCACACTGATGGCTGTTTACTGTTCACAGAGGGCTGAGTGATACTAGCAATCACAGCATTGTAAGAGGGGGACAGTTGATCCTGGAGGCCTCCACCCCTGTTTAATGATGGATGATTTCTTTTCACAAAGATGGCCTCCTTTACTCCTCTCTCAAACCATCGTTCCTCTCTGTCCAGGATGTGAACATCTTCATCCCTGAAAGAGTGACCGCTGGCCTGGAGATGAGTGTAGACCGCAGAGTCCTGGCCTAATGATGTTGATCTTCTGTGCTGGGCCATCCTTTTGGCCAGTGGCTGTTTTGTTTCCCCGATGTAAGACTGATCACAGCCCTCCTGACACAATATTACTCTGTTTGTGCCGGGGGACTGGATCTTTGGGATGAACCAGTCTTTGCTGTAATGTATTTGGGGGTTTAAAAGCCACTGGGACGTTATGTTTAGAAAATAAACGTCTCAGTTTCTCTGATACCCCCTCAACATACGGAATGACCACTGGTCTGGGTTCCTCCTTTTCACCTGATGGCTGACTGGAGTCCTGTTTGGGTTTCTTCTCTGCTTTCAGGAAGGCCCAGTTAGGATATCCACATTGCTCTAGAGCCTATCTTGTGTGGGATTTCTCCTTCTGCCTGGCTCCTGAGCTAGTGGGGATGCTGTCTGCTCTGTGATACAGAGTCCTGATGAATAAATTTAAATTATGAACTCATTGGTGAATGATGCAGACATGTTCCTGTTTTTAGTTTTCTACATTCACCTTAGAATCTAGCTGGGTTTTTTTCTTTCTTTTTTTTGTTTTGTTACCTTTTCCTTTTAGCCATCCTATTTGTAAAAAAACAACAACAAAAAAACTGCAGTATGACTTTTTACAATTGTTTATTGTTGTTGCTGTTGTCCATTGTCGTCATCTTTCTTTGTTGAAATCAGGTCTCTCTTGTAAATGAGTCCTCGAGGCTCAATGGGATTTACCTGTCTAAATAAAGGTTGATTGATGAAGGAGGCCATAAGTGTCCCGCAGGCCTCCATTTGAATAGCCCTGCCCTTCTGATGGGAAGAATTGCCAAATATGGAAAAATTTTAAGGACACGAATAACCGGTAAAGTTGTGCAATACTTTTACCAAGGATTTCAAAGATGTCAAGAGAAAACACAATACTGTATTCATTAGTGGAGTTGGTGGATTTGACGTCAGTGTTTACAGATTTGTTTTAAGGCTGAAATTTTGTCATGCTGCAGTAAATAAATTTAAAAAGATAGATTGCTCCATTAAATGGTGTTTCTTCTTGCAAGCTGTAATAAAATGTTAAATTAGCTGTAGTGTAAATGTTCTAGAAATATTATATTATAATTTAAAGGTTATATTTTGCATCCCTTGTTGAAATATAACAATTATGTTTGCATTTGTGCTTTAATATTCTTCTCCAGCTTTGTGTTAAAATCTTCTTGATGACAATGTTGCTGAGAAAGTAATGCTAGGCAGTTGGATGGTCGGTGTATTTTTCATTTTAAGCCAAAAGGTTATCTTTTCGTTATTTTCCTAAAAACAGTCTAGTCCAGGATTTAAAGTAAATATATTTTTATTTTTTGTCTTGCTAAGGTCTCTATTGTTATGCTTGGTTTTGTGACAACCATTCCCATTTTGTCTTCAAGGAATTAATATTGATCTAACATTAAGCAACAAGTCCTACCATGTATGTCCTGTAGAAGCTCAGTTTCTGATTACACAACAAAAATACATCTCTGTTCAGAAACTGGCATAGGCCTACAAACTACACTTCTTCATCAAGTCCATTTTTAGTGAACATCACCTTGTTATTACAGTTCAAGACAATGTTGCTCCTGATATATTGTTCATGAGCTGAGAAAACTTATGTTTAAGTGACCAGTTTAACAACATTTATGTATGAAAAAAGGGATTGTTTCAATAGAATTTTAGATAATTCATAGCTGTACCTAAACAACAAGGGTAGGGCACCAATAGCAAGAAGTGAGTGCACTCCAAAATCAGTTAAAATGTTGAAGCAATTTTGAAGGTATTTGATTCAATGTATGGTTAAAAACAAACTAAGCTACTGATTCAACCTTTTAAATGTTTGTTTACCTATGCATTTTTTGTGATAAGGAAGATGGGTTTTTTTTCCACATATAAATGAAAATTAATAGATTTTTTTTACCGCATTTGAACAATCTTATGGTGCGCTAATCCAGTTTGTACGTAAATCCAGTCCATATTTTGCGTCCCTTTCAAGGGCGCTAAAGAAGCGGTTGCCAGTTAGATTAAATACGGCCATTTCTTTCTTACTTGTTATCAGCTTTGAAATAAAGGAGGATTTGTAGAAATACCTGGCAACAATTTAGGCAACAAAGGAAGTAAAGCTTACGAGCTCAACAATCTTACGTACCTTCTGGGAATATAACGATAAACATGTCCGGCTTTAGTTTTTTGCTCGGTTTAGGAAAGAGCTGAAGTTGTCTGGATAAAAATGATATGATAAAAATAAGGTAAGTAGCAAGAAAACAGCGACAACGAGACTGATTTAGGTCTCTTAGCTTGTTATGCTAACATCGTAATGCAAGGCCATCCTATACCGCCTTCAGTCATCGATGCTGAATATTCAATGCTTTATTTAGCTAAACGACGTAGTTGTTATCAACCCATGTGCTTATTTTATTTAGGCTTACAAGAAATTAAACATTAATTTTAACGATTAAGATCCAGCAACAAATGGTACTAAGTACAAAGCATGTTTATGAACTGATGCTTTTTATACGCATTTAAATTTAATCGATGATGGTCTTGGACGTTTTCAAATTAAACCAGACAAAACTTAAGATAAATTAGCGAGGATTAAAAAGATGTCGAATACTTGTTTACAAGTAGGTACATAGAAATGATCAAATTCATTATGTGCAGCGCAGAACCGTGTGTAAATAATGACTATTGTAATTGTTGAAAATTAACATATGTGTTTGTATAAATATGCTTGTACGCTCATGGCCCATTATTTATCACTATTGTTGTAGTTTTAAACTAACAGTAATGGGAATTGAACAAGAAACCAAATAAATATTGATCAGAATTGGATCACATTATGCCTAAATTGTGTAATCAAAAGATTTATTGTCCTTTGGAAAGTATCCTCACGGGTTTGACTCATTTCTGGAGCCACTTTACTGTTTGAGAAGTAAATGGGATGATAATTTTTTTTTTATCTAAAAACGCTTTGTAAGGAGGTGGATAAGTATTTTTTTTACAGATATTTCAAAACATGTATTTAATATTCTTCTGTTTCTGCTCTGTCAGCTTAGCCTGATTGTCACAGATTTCTGGCGTCTTGCGGGCCTTTTGAGGCCCAAGAAAAGTATGCATCGTGGGGATAAAGACTTGCAGACAGCTGCACGCAAAATGGGTACATCCTTACTGTTTCAGCTGTCTGCCTATGAACGGGACCTAGATTTAGTATTTCTGGACCACAGCTATGCAAAACCATGGAACGCTCACCCAGATGCCAGCAGTGCTCGGCCTACAAGGACGCTGTTCGTGACTCCTCGTCGTCAACCTGAACCCTCATCGTGAGTACAAAAGCTTCAAAACTGATTTTATTTATCAAGGAAATGTCAGACTATTTCTATCTACCTGTTGCAAATTTGTCTTCAGGTAGTTAGGTTGATCAATAAATGCTTTTTAAACGTTACAGTACTTTTGAAGTGGATTTTATTTGCTTGTTTACACGCAGAGACTCCGAATCTCTAATAGATGTGGAAACGGTCATGCCGTCACCTGTTCTTCTATACGACAACCAGAAGGCTCTTAGTGTGATGAAGGAATGTGAACGACATGTCCTGTTTGCTCGAACTGCTGCCGAGAGCCCCCCACCCCCTGAGGACTGGGAGGAACATCTAAACAAGTAACCAAACACGTGGACTGATTCCCTCATTATTGATTTGATTTAGTCTCTATGTGATGCTGCAATACAAAATCCTGCAGTTGCAGTGTGTTGTTTTGAGATCATGTTTTGTTTTTTGTTTGTTTGTTTCAGGACGGGATGGTCAGTGGTGCAGAACAAACTGTTCAACAAAGTCCTTAAAGCTCTTCAAGCTGAAAGACTTGCACGTCTGGCCAATGAAAATGTATTGCAATATTTTTAATAGTATTTTATTTATTTAATTTCTTTTAATTTTCTTGTTTTCGTAGTAGTTGTTCGGGCGTTATTTCTTTAAAATCACAAGTTTTTGCAGTGCTTGCCTTTTCTTTTTGTTGGATCATGTAGACCCCATAATTATTATTATTTTATTTTGACTAAAAAGTAAAAGCAGTTGGAGTTTCTTTCATTTAAAAAAAAAAAAGAGAGACAGCAGGTGAGTAATGACGCCACTTTTTGCTTTTGTTAGGCATGCAACGAACCAATTTTGCGACGAATAGCTGTGGACAAGTGTGCCAAGAAGGTACGACACGCACTCGCCAGCGTGAACTGGGATTCTAAACTGACCCAGTGGTTACACACAACTCTGATTGAATCTTTAAGCCTCACCATGCTTGCTGCATACCTGGATGTGCTGCAGACTCTCAAAAGCAAGGTATGATCTCGAAAACTTAAGAATAACTGTGCTTTAAAAGGCTTGGGTGTTTTATTTGGCGTTATCCTGTGTTTGTCTGGAAAGCTGCCCTCGCTGATCGAGAGAATGCTGCTGCCGTCTGCAAAGACTGGAGCTCCCAGTGCAGAGGCTTTGTCACTGCTTCTGAAACGCCCTTGGGATCCAGCTGTCGGAGTCCTGTCACAAAACAAACCGGTAAAAGTCTTCGCTCGAAAAGTAATTTCACACAACTTTCTTTATTTCTCTTTACAAGATCTGTGTGTTGCAAACCTCATACTCTGGTCTGTACTTTTGCACGTGCAGAACAAACTTCCCGGATCCCCTCTCATCCTTATTGCACCATCAAGCCCAACTAATCCTGCCCTCTCCACCTCACGACGCATGAGATTTTGGCAGTCGCAGCTCTCCTGCTTTGGAAAGGTTTAAAATCTCACTCAGTCAAATATTTATCTTCTTCAATAATATTTTATCTGTTTTTTTTTTTCTCAGTTAAAGCTTTAAAGTTCTGTTTGTGTGACAGGTGATCCCAGTGCACACTCATGTGAACAGCGGAGCCAGTATTGGAATCACACAATGTTTGGAGCACATGTTGGGGACCGTCAGGGCCAAAGTCATGGAGGTAGGATGTTCAGATTTTATAGTATTTGTTTCTCCAAATGATGTTTGTTACATTTATATATTTGAATTAATCTTCTATATACTACATACCATAGAAATATTAGATATTTCCAGATTTTTATGTTCTACATATGGTAGCTTAGCTTTGTAGCTGTCCTAGAAAGCATTTGGTTTTTATTAAAAGGGTAAAGTTTGTTAGTGATTGATTGATGAATAGCTTATTTTCATTAGTCGTTTTAAAGTTACAATAAAAAATATCCTGGAATATTTGGGTGTATTACGATAATTTATGCTCCATTTCATATGAACAAACATGCACATTCTCATACAGTAACGTGCATCAATTACATATCCATAAAATGCATTATTATGAGATCAGATTTTACATACTAAAATAGCTCAGCTAATAACAAAACTAATTCTTCGTTTAGCGGATTTAGCGTTTTCTCCAACTTTGGAAACCTTTAGTGGAATTAGCTTCTGCTAAATTAGGTTTCGCCAGCTTAGTCCACTAAAAAAATTCACAAGCTTGTTCCTGTCTGTTGTGGGCGTGTCTCAAAGAGTCCATTATGCACGCCATTGGTTTACTATGTGTGCATGTGACAAGACGTGATTGGTTGATGCAGCTTCACCTGTAAGAAAACCAAAACGTGTGATGCAGACTAAGTGACAGTTGTCTTAGCAATTAGCAGTTTATTGTTGGCTTCCACTAATTTATTTACCTGTTTAGCAGTTTAGCCATAGTGAAACTAATTTTTTAGTTGGTGGAATATGGGTTAGCAAAGCTAATTGGTTAGCTGTGCCCACCACTGGGTAGATATAACAGCTGGTCTGCCCGATGAATTTGGCAGAGTTTTCTTTGTTTTGCGTCCATGATTAAAAATATCACACTGCTTTGCAGTCGTAGACTTTGACATGGTCAGCACAGTTTCTTATTTGGCAAATATTGAGTTTTTTTTTTAAGAAAGTTGGTCTATAGTTTCGGGAGCTTCGCTGCTAAGCTTCCATCTTGTCCTTGGTCTCGTGAACTCTTTCTCATATTCATTTTTGCAGCAATATTATTGTAATAGAATTTTTCTTCAACAGGTTCACAGTCACTTCCCACATAAACCCATCATCCTGGTTGGCTGGAATGCCGGTGCTCTTATTGCTTGTCATGTAAGATTTAAATCAAATTGCTCTAATGCAACACTGACAATATATTTGTTGAATGCATCATTAACTTGAAACTTTCCTATTTTAGGTATCCCTTATGGAGTATCTGACTGCTGTGGTGTGTCTTGGCTTCCCGCTGTTAACAGTCAATGGGCCGAGAGGGGTAAGAAAGGGTTTTACACAGTTTTGTATAGTATGGAAATTTGTTTTCTCAGGACAGAAATCCTATTATAGGAAAAAAAGAGAAAATATGAACAATTTATGATCAAGCTTTTGTAAAACTACAGAATATTAAGGCAGGATATTATGTGTTAGCAACTTGCTATTTGGAAAGTAGACCTTGAGCTTCTAATACTGCCAAATATCTCTAAAAGAAGCCAAAAATTCACAAAATTAACACATTGCAGTAATCTTCAACCTTGTGATTAGGACCATAAACTCTCCGTTTTTGTGGGGTGGTTGTTAAAACAGTTAAAAATCTGGTAGAAACTGAATGTGCTATTGTGCATTAATTATTTGCAAGGTACATATTGAGAGATTATAACTAGTTAGTTTACTTTCACTTCAGGCAGAGGTGTTGATTTTTCTTGAAATGCTCCATATTAGTTTGGTGGTAAATTATTTATAAATTACAACATTCTAAATTTAAAATTAATAGCAAATATTTAACAGAAAACCAGACATGAATAGATTGTAACATAAATGTTTTTGGAATGTAAATCAAACATCATTTATTACCCGTTTGTTCATGCTGGAGCTTTTTTCACGTTTGGTGAATCTCGATGTGTTCCTGGTTTGCAGGATGTGGATGACCCCCTGTTGGACATGAAGACCCCCGTGCTGTTTGTGGTTGGACAGAATGCTCTCCAGTGTACCACAGACGGCATGGAGGAGTTCAGGGAGAGGCTGAGGGCAGATAACAGCATGGTGGTGGTGGGAGGAGCAGACGACAACCTCAGGTCAGTCACAAACTTAAAAGGGTAAAACAGAAAATTTTAAACCTTAACACAGTGACAGCTGTTTGTCATATGAAGAACTTGTCAAACAATGAAAGTTGGAAGAGCATGCAGCTGTCTCTTTATGGTGCAGTTGTGTAAAATTGTAGACTCCAAACGAAGAAGTAAATTTGATTAGTTTCTTCGCAAACAATGGGGATCATCACAGAGCTAAACTGGTGAGCACGAGTAGCATCTGTGTGGTCTAATCAATGACTCTGTCTTTCACCCGAGGCAAACTTATTGTAAATAACTTTGTGGCTTCTTGTGAAGATTATTCTGTGAGCCTTGCGTTGCATTTTTGTGCCTGCAAGACTCTGGAATGATATCTTGACTTTTCCTTCCCTGAATAAACCACATTGTTTAATTCAAAATGCCCTCACAGAATGGGAGAGATCCATTATAATCTGAATCTAAATTGGTCTGTTTTATCTGAGGCAGACATTCTGAACACTTTGAGAGGCTGCACCTTTGGTTTCACTTTTTAATTTGTTTTATACTGAGCACTTTTTTGTTTGTTGCGTTTTAACACAAAACTCCTCCACAGAATCAATTCAGCAAAGATGAAATCAGAAGGATTAACGCAGTCAATGGTGGATCGCTGCATTCAGGTAAATGGAAATAATTCATCTTTTTTTTTTTCAGAATATTACTCATTTCTGATGTATTTTTTAATCAATTATTTAAACATTTAGGATGAGATAGCTGACTTCTTGTCAGGTGTCCTAACTCGGGCAGAGGGCCACAGTCATGGTTCTGGAGAGATGCGGGACTTGGACACAGAGAAGAAGAAAAGGCCTCGGCGAGAACTTCCCTTTGATATTGAGAGAGGACGACCTTCGTCCCCTGCGCTTAGAGTTCCCATCTCTCCCTCTGGTTCAGAGGTTAGAAAAAATATATTAATAAGCTTCACATTTTTAATAAAAAATACTTCAAAACTTTCAGTTTACCATATATTATCTTTGGTTTTTAACACAATATAAAACTGTTGTGCAAACTATTAGAATCACTAAACCAAAACTTGAGAATGAGAACTCAATTGTTTCCCTTTTAATTTTAGTGTTTATGTTTGGTTTACTACAAATTAATACAAGTGTTATCTATTATTAGTGTTTTGAAGCGGTACTTCAATAAAACATACTGTACTTTATTAAAACTGTAGTTATAAATTAACGCTACAAACTGTTCCGCCTTAATTTTCTTCTCAGGATCTGTCGAGTGTCTGCAGCAGCCCCACATCAAGCCCCAAACCCAAGACCTCTGGTCTGTCGCCAGCACAAAAGTCCAGTCTGATCACAGCTACGCAGCTCCTCAAGACTCACATGCAACGCTCGGGCACCGTTCTCACTCACAAGCAGGCTCAAGGTTAGCTAACAATCTTATTAAAGTGGAAGAATGCAAACATTCACTGTCATCAGTCAACACTGCAGTCTGTAAACACTTTAGACCTTTTTATGTGTTTTAACTTAGTTATTCACTTCAGCTCCTGCTGAACTGTGCACAAACTGTGTGAGCTGAGCAGATGGAGGTAGTGTGTCATATGCAGGAGAAAAACAAAATAAAACTTCATTATCACATCTCAACATCTGATGGGATGAGATGGAACGTGACTGAAATACTTTCCTCTTGTCTCTTCTACGACTTTCCTTTCTGGCTTTTCTTCTGGTTCATTCCAGCTCAGTTTGCTGCTTTTATGAAACAAAACATGCTTGTGAGGAAAAATCTTCCTCCTGGCACCCCTCCTTGTATTTTTGGTAAGTGTCTGTCCCTCTTTCACTCTTTTCTTTCCTCTTTACCTTTTCTCCCATTTCTTTGTATTCACAACTTTGAGTTCAGTCAGTATATCTAATGTTGTGCTTTGATTGGAAAACGAACATTTTAGATCATTACCCACATTAAATGATAAGGGTAAATCAGAGACGATGGAAAGTTGATTAAAAATGTCAAACTGAGTTAATGACGTCTCAAAACAATAAAACACTACAGGCTCAAGTCGTCGTTGTTTACACGTGTGCCCTTGTTCCTGTGGTGCAGTACCAGTCAGCGGGGATCAGATGGAAGGCCTGGACAGAGATGAGGTGCGCTCTCATGGCAAAAGGAGACAGACGCCCAGTCCCACACCGAGCAAAGTCTCCAAGAAGGCAAAGATTAAAGTCACCATTGTTTCCCAGAGTGAGACAGCAGGAAGCACCGTCAGCCCTGCCGAGTGCTCAAAACCTGGTAATCTTCTGCACACACATGATTCAATAGAAACTAATTTCAAGTTGTAATGATGCCACAGAAGTTACAAAATTTTAATAGAAGGTTTGATTAAAATAAATATAAACATGTTTATAGTAGTCCTATTGAAATTTGTTGGGCTGAATAGTGGCTGACTACGAGGCCTTTACTTATAAGAAAGCTCAGCATTCACTGCAGCATCATTGACCTCAGAGGGAAGGAGGGACCCTTTAACTGTAGTTTAGTGTGTACCGTGCTGTTCGGACTATAAGTCGCATCTTTTTTGCATAAACTAGCAAGTCATGTGACTTATAGTCCGAAGCAACTAATTTATGTTTTTTCCCCCATATTTATAACCCAGTTTTTGGCTGAGATGTGACGATTTCACGCATTTCCAGGTGATCAGCGGTGACGCATAATAGATGTGACTTATAAAGTGAAGCGACATATTTAGTTTTTTTTTTTTTTTCAATTTATTAAACATAATTGGACTGATGTGACTTATACAGCGGTGCAACTTTTAAATCAGAAAGTACGGTAAATATGGAAAGTCTTTGTTCAACTTAAAGGCGTTATCACACTAAGCTGTGACTTTTAGGAGACTGCTTGCTCAAAATCATCAGGTCAAAGGAAACGTTTACAAGACAGTGGTGAGACCAGCTATGTTGCATGATCTGGAGACATTGATAAAAAGACAGGAGAAAGAACTGGAAGTGGCAGAAATGAAGATGTTGAGGTTCTTCTTAGGAGATGGATGAAATCATCAGAGGTACAGCACAGGTTGAACAACTGAATTGCTGTGGAGACCCCTGAAGAGGGAAAAGCTGAAAGAAGAAGAAGAAATTGCTCAAATTCATGGACAAATTGTAAGGAATGCTGCAAAAGAACGCTGAAATGTTTTCAACCAAGCAGCCAACGAGATGAGGTCAGTTTTTGAAAATCATGGCCTGTTTTTGTGCACGGCTTACAAAGCTGCATTTTTGGCCGTGTCCATTATTTCGTTGCCAACCTCGGCACATTCTGTACTCACCTTGGCAGCCTCCCCCACATTTGTGATTTAATCTGCTCGGGTACACTTAATGAAAGAGGACAGGCAGATTTGGACCAGTATTTTAATGATTATTGCCATAAGTGTGATTTTTAGACCTGGACATTTGTCTCACATGTTTTCTGACAGAGGAGGAGTCAAAAGGAGGTGGAGACCTTTTGAGAAGAAGTCAAAATGCAGCTCTGAAGATGACCACAACAAGTTCATGACTATTTTGAGAAATAAGTTGTTGCACAAATATTTTGAATATGTTCAAAGCCCAAGAACCGGGACTGGTCACCACTGCAATTCACACGAGGAAATTGAAAACCCAAGGAAGTTGAGGCATTCAGGAAAATCTTCTATGAGCGCTATTCACAGCCCAGTGAGATACTGCCTTTGATTTCCCTGAAGAGCACATATTTAGCAGATCTCAGCCACTTTTTGTGGGGTTTTGTTTTCATTGAGTTATGATAAACTTGTTGCTGCCTCTGTCATTTTAGATTGTGTGAGTTTTAAGTAGCAATGAAATTTCCAGCAGGTTAGTTTCTCAATCGTAGCGAAGCAACAGTTTTTAATATCATATAATTCATTTGCTGAAGTATCATTTCCCCTGATATCCACTGTATAATATGTAGTTAGGAAAGTTATTTTAGCTTTTCAGAAACAGGACTTTTTTTTAATGTTTGTATGACTCAAGTGAACTGATAAAGTTTGGGGGCTTTCCTGGATTGATAACATCACCAGTGGGGAGACGAGAGTTTTTTAAATAGCTTTCATTCCAATCTTCAGATGAAAATTTCTTGCTCAGTGTGCAGCATTTCAAAAGAACTGCAGCTTATAATGTTTGACTATCTGTGTTTTATTTTGACTGGTGTCTACCTCTTTACAAATATATATTTTTTTAATATATATTTTTTTATTAACCTTAAGGTTAAATAACTGACTGTGCTATTACTTTGCTTCTTGATCCAGTGGGTGTCTCTGGTAAGCCATTCTCTATGGCAATGGGACAAACTGTGGCTGGTGCCAAGGAACTTTCTGGGCTCCTGACAGGACAGCGGTAAGCTTCCCCTCTCTGCTGCACACACTCACATTGCGTTCATACTACACCCACATCCACACCCAGCCTGTTAGACAGAAAGGTGTCTGGTGCAGAGGGATTGATGAGTGGTGATACTCAGAGTTTGGAAGCTGAATAATAGTCAAACAGGACTTTTTGGGGTAGCTCCTGAGCAGACTGGTGGTATGTGTGTCACTGCAGGTCTGGTAGTCTCTCAGAGGTGTCTGGTGCCCTGTCCCCAGGCTCCAGCTCATTCAGCAGCGTGCAGCCTTGCATGGTGTCGGTGTCCTCCACACCAGTCCAGGTGCAAGCTCCAGCTACTTCCCAAGGTATCTCTTTCTTGTCCTGCTTTGCACGCTTGTTTGTACTAAACTGTGCAAATAATCTCAGTTCAGCAGCTTCAACACACAGAGCTGTTCTGTCTGCTTTATTGAGCAGGATTCAGGTTCTGAACTCTGGATCAAAAACAACATATTTCTGCAAACATCATCATTGATCACCTCTTGCGCCATTGCTGCTTTTCACTGATCTAAACCTTCACCCTTGGACATAATTTTGTGTTGACCCATGTTTGTCTATCTAGTTTAGGTCCAGTAGACCTTTTAACAATATGAATTAGATACCAGTTTGTGAAAGTTTTTATTATATTTGCCTTGCATAGATTTCACCCAAATTTGAACTTCACTAATTTGTGGATTTTATTGTTTTTGTTTTCTGCAGCACCTTCTGCAAGCAGTCTTCTGCAAGGCCTAAGTTTCAGTCTTCAGGAGATCGTTACCAAAGCTCCTAACTCACCTTCTACAGCAACAAATGCAGGCAGCACCCAGGTACACCAAGAGAACATGATTAATTTATGTATTCAGCTCAGGTTTGCGTTTATAAAGTACTACATAAACACGTAATCCCAAGTGCTTAACAAAGCAATTCAAATAAAAATAAACATGCACAGATATACAGTAACCAGCATTATAATACAAAAAAGACAATAAGGAATAAAAAAAATCATCAGGTTTACATGCATTTTATGAGATTCACACAAATACATGTAAATAAAATAAAGGCAAGTTGAAGGGCTAATGTGAAAAAGTTTACAGGAGCTTATTTATATTTTGTTAACACTTTCCACAGTGATTTACAGTGCCTTGCGAAAGTATTCTGCCCCCTTGAACTTTTCAACCTTTTGCCACATTTCAGACTTCAAACATAAAAATATAAAATTTAAATTTTTTGTGAAGAATCAACAACAAGTGGGACACAATCTTGAAGTGGAATGAAATTTATTGGATGTGTCAAACTATTTTAACAAATAAAAAACTGAAAAGTGGGGCGTGCAATATTATTCGGCCCTTTACTTTCAGTGCAGCAAACTCACTCCAGAAGTTCAGTGAGGATCTATGAATGATCCACTGTTGTCCCAAATGACTGATGATGATAAATAGAATCCACCTGTGTGTAATCAAGTCTCCGTATAAATGCACCTGCTCTGTGATAGTCTCAGGGTTCTGTTCAAAGCGCAGAGAGCATCATGAAGACCAAGGAACACACCAGGCAGGTCCGAGATACTGTTGTGGAGAAGTTTAAAGCCGGATTTGGATACAAAAAGATTTCCCAAGCTTTAAACATCCCAAGGAGCACTGTGCAAGCAATCATGTTGAAATGGAAGGAGTATCAGACCACTGCAAATCTACCAAGACCCGGCCGTCCCTCTAAACTTTCATCTGGAACAAGGAGAAGACTGATCAGAGATGCAGCCAAGAGGCCCATGATCACTCTGGGTGAACTGCAGAGATCTACAGCTGAGGTGGGAGAGTCTGTCCATAGGACAACAATCAGTCGTACACTGCACAAATCTGGCCTTTATGGAAGAGTGGCAAGAAGAAAGACATTTCTCAAAGATATCCATAAAAAGTGTTGTTTAAAGTTTGTCACAAGCACCTGGGAGACACACCAAACATGTGGAAGAAGGTGCTCTGGTCACATGAAACCAAAATACAACTGTTTGGCCACAATGCAAAACGATATGTTTGGCGTAAAAGCAACACAGCTCATCACCCTGAACACACCATCCCCACTGTCAAACATGGTGGTGGCAGCATCATGGTTTGGGCCTGCTTTTCATCAGCAGGGACAGGGAAGATGGTCAGAATTGATGGGAAGATGGATCGGGCCAAATACAGGACCATTCTGGAAGAAAACCTGTTTGAGTCTGCAAGAGACCTGAGACTGGTACGGAGATTTATCTTTCAACAAGACGATGATCCAAAACATCAAATCTACAATGGAATGGTTCACAAATAAACGTATCCAGGTGTTGGAATGGCCAAGTCAAAGTCCAGACCTGAATCCAATCGAGAATCTGTGGAAAGAGCTGAAGACTGCTGTTCACAAACGCTCTCCATCCAACCTCACTGAGCTCGAGCTGTTTTGCAAAGAAGAATGGGCAAAACTGATAGAGACATACCCCAAGAGACTTGCAGCTGGAACTGCAGCAAAATGCAGAGCTACAAAGTATTAACGCAAGGGGGCCGAATAATATTGCATGCCCCACTTTTCAGTTTTTTATTTGTTAATAAAGTTTGACACATCCATTAAATTTCATCCCACTTCACGATTGTGTCCCACTTGTTGTTGATTCTTCACAAAAAATTAAAATTTTATATCTTTATGTTTGAAGCCTGAAATGTGGCAAAAGGTTGAAAAGTTCAAGGGGGCCGAATACTTTCACACAACACTGTACTCTAACATTTTGTCTGTATCAAAAACTATTTTTTAATCTGAACCTTTGTAGTCGATCAATGAAGAACCACCAGTATGAGCCCATTTATAGTTTGTATGGTTTAATGAGCATATTGCATCAGCAACATTTCTACCCCAGAAGTTTTATCAGGATTTTTATAGATTTGGAAAAAATCCAAATTATAGCAAACGATTTTTGATTGTTGGGTCAGATACGGGTGTGCACTAGGGGTGGGCGATATGACTCAAATATAATAGCGTGATATTTCAGAGCATTCTGACGATAACGATAAATTTTGCGATATAAAAAAAAAAAACAGAAATCATAGTTTATTTATTTAACAAAATTAACTTAACATGTTGTTTTGCAGTATTACATAAAATTAAAAAAAAAAACAAGGGGTAATTTTACTGAAATTACTTTATTTAGTAAAGTATTCAGTCTCCAAGTATAAAAATAAAAAGATCCTTCTGTTATTTAGCTTGAAAAAGTCTGCACAAATAGATCAATAAATCCACCACAAAAACTAAAGTGCAGGTGAAGTTTCCCAAAATAACTAAATAAAATGAAGTTTAAGATCTGTTGAGCATAAATGTAACAAAATATATGTTGCCTTTAAATGAGCTATAACTTCCAGAACTTGTAACAAGGTGATCAGCTGACCCTGAAGCTTGTGGAGTTTCTTCTTCCTCTGTTCCTGCAGGAATGACTCATTTCTCTGATGCTCTGTCTCTGATCACATGACTCTGTTCTTGGTCCACGGACTCTGGAACTCAAGAGACAGTTGAGTTACCTGCAGTTTAGAGCTGGATGGAGACACAGCTGAGTCGTGCGTTGTTTGTTTTTAGCTTTTTAGCTAGCTAGTATTGCGCACAGCTAATTAGCGTCACACCAGTACTGACAGGAGGAGGGGGGTGCGCAATTCGGTTTGGTCGTTTAGCGCGCTCGGTTCTGTTAAGGGGGCAGGGCACCCTGACGTATTGCGTCATGAAATTAGCATATCATGATATCGTTTTTTTTCCCGGGCAAACTTTTTTTACCGGTATTATCGTGAACGATATGATATGGCCCAGCCCTAGCATGCACCGTAATTCTCAAGCTAAAGAATGCACCTGTCTCTAAGCCGCACTTATTAAATATAAGATAAATCATAATTTTGTACATAAATAAGACGCTCTGGTTATTTAGCCGCGGGCATTCACCGTTTATCGTCAGGATCTGTGCCCCCAGACTGCTCCGGCTGTGTGCGTCTTTCTTGTTGTAGTACAAGAATCAGCCAGCAGATGGCGTTTCACAGGATATAGCTTGCTCTCAACATGCGCTCAGTCTTCATGAAGCTTCGCTGTCTGACTCAAGTTTACAACCATTATACTTCCAAAATGAACACAATAACTATCTAAGTGTAATCACTGAACAGAACAGTGCCAAACACCTACGTAACCAAAAAAATTAAAAAAATTATTTACCGGTAAATATTCCCCAGAGATCTTATCGAGGTCATGTGACCGGAAGTCAAATAGTACCGGTAAAATATGGTAAATATTCATGAAATTAGTACCATTGATTTTTATTGGTTAAACACTTTTGTTAACTGCTGTTTTTAATGTACTTTTTTAAATAAATTTGACGTGATTTATATTCAGCAAAGAGCTCATACGAGGAGGAGGAGGAGGAGCAGGAGGAAGGAAGGGGGAACAGCCCCACCCTCCCTCCTGTTGTCCCCTCCCTTCTGTGTGAGTTTAAGTGAGATATTGGTACTTTTAACACATATTTACCGTACACAGAAAGATTTTTAAAAAACTTTTATTTAAATATGTATCAGTCTTGACTGACTGACTGCTTTAAAAATAAATCTGACGACTTCTCTACCGTTAAGCTCACATGACGAAAAGAGGAGGGGGAAAGACCCCTTCTGTTTCTTCGCTTCATGTTTGGATGTAACTTTAAAATGAGATCCCAGTATTTAAATGCATATTTACCGACACAGAAAGAATTTAAAAACTTTTATTAAAGCATGCACCAGACTTGACTGCTTTTGCGTCTCCAGTCCTGACCATGTTGATGCAGCTTACGGACTGCAAGCCGTTTCCTCCTCGACAGCTGATCGCTTTTAACATGAAAGCTGCGTCATGAGAAATTCTTTGTATGTTTTCCATTATTGCTGAGCAAAAGAACAGGTCTGTGCATGAAGAATAAAATCCAGTAACAACACGGGAACAATCTGCAGAACTTAATTCACGTCTGTCTTGGGGGATGGTCCTGGAGAGTACCTGGTTGGTCATTAAGGTTAGACTTCTGGTCACATGATGACAGAGTGGGAGGAGTTATGGTTGGGTATGCTGGTGAAGATTCTCAGTCTGGTTGGGTATTTGAAACCATGAGCAAGAGTCTTACATCTGATTGCCTGAGGGCATTCACTCTGCTACAGATGCCTTCCCGCATGTGGGGCGGGGTGCTGGGAGCCACAAGCGCCCAGCCCTGTCAAAGGAAAATGTTAGTCAGCAGCAGGAAGTTACCAAGAGATGGCAAAAAGTATTTCAAAATAAAATATAATTTTTAAAATTATGAAAAAAGTGCATAAATAAGACGCTCCTGCATATAAACTGCAGGGTACAAAGTGTGAGAAAAAAGTAGCGTCTGGTAGTCAAGATGTGTCTAAAAGCACTTCAGACATTTTACTGGAGTTTTCCGTGCAACAACATTTGAGGTTTGCTTCCTATCCACTGTAGACCGTCCACCCAGAAGGATTTTGTGTGTAATTTGATGACGGATCACATCTCTCAGCTTTGCAGAAACCAAAGAGGTTTAACAGAAACATGTCTGAATTATAGTAACATCCGTTATTTTGTGTTCATGCCAGTTGAAGATTGGTCAACAAAATGTGTTTTATTTCATTAAAAAGTAAAATGATCAGCTTTCTGCTTTTCTGTGGGTTTGTAGAAAGTCTTTAATGTTATTTTCTCCTCCATCTACAGGCGGTTTGTGGTAAGTCTCAGGATCCGGTCCTGAGCTCGGTCGGCACCAGCGGCAGTACTCTGCTCCGGGCTGTGCCTGTGGTCACCGCAGGAGGAGTCGCCAAAACCACAACCATCCATCAGCTGCTCGCCAACGGAGGGCTGGCCAAACTGGCCAGCAGCTTGCCCGGCTTGGCTCACATCACTAATCAGACTGCTGGTATGTGTCGAACTGCCAAATCGAGACAGCCTCGTTGAACGTTCGTGGTTCGTTCGTGCTTTTGTTTTGGAAACAACAGTTCAGGACGTCTGTAGGTCAGGGAGGATTACTGCATTAGAGGAAGTCCTTGTGTGGAGATCGTTTACCCGGACGAACCTAACTGGTGTACAGTTCGCTGAGTCAGACGTGCAGCTGTTTGTCATCTGAAGGCTAGTCGGAGCCATAAACATGTTTTGTTTCCATGTCCACAAAGAGCCATAAAAGGGAAACTCGGTCTTAAAATTTCATCTAATTTGGACACAAGTTTATACAGAAACAAATGCCTTCATGAAGTAGAACTGTGTGAAATCATCTGGTCCTGAAGAATGAAGTTCAAAGTCAAGTTTATTGAGTTTGCCTGATTTAATAATAAAAGATTGCTTTCTTTGTTAGTTGTTTTTTTTAATGAATGCCATTGCATGTTATTTTATTTTGCCTCTTCATCTTGCAACTTTTTGTAAAGTCTTTCTTTAAATCACCTGCTTAAATCTCCATGAACATAACTGTTGATCTCCAGAGGAGTCTTGCAACAATATTAACATTTACATGTGGCATTATACAAAATCTGTCCATGCTGTTAAAAAAATAAAGACTGAAATCAAACTCATATCCATTGCTTCCTGTTTTGTTTTTGTCCTCAGTTTTGCTCTGTCTCTGTCTAAATGCATTTAGCTTCAGTCAACCTTTAAATTATATTCACCATTCTACATCCTGCTTCTGCTTGAATCTGCCTGCTCACCACGAAGACAACTTTCATGATATCACTCTGATGTTTGTGGTTAGGTTCTTCCATTTATTGAATTTTATTTATTTATCTTCGTATTTTGGAAGTAGCAGATCTAGTTTGTTACTGTTGCTGTTCTAGAATTGCGCCGCTCGGGGTGGCTGCATGTTGGAGCAGCTCTGTAACTTTCATTCTGTGTTATTGCTTTTGAAAACTTTTAATTCCTCTTTTTTCTGGATGTAAATCACTTTTTTTTCGGATGATTACTTCCTCTGGTATTGGATGCAGTGCAGCTGGAAGGATTTTTATAGAAACCTTTCTACTTTTGGGCATTTGTTATGATGCGTAACCATGGCGACAAGGTGTTTTTTTTTTTTTAACAACCAGGAGCATCTGATTAACGTCTCAAAAGCTCAAATACATCAGCTACAGCCCCAAAGGAGTAGAAAAGGAGGCACCGTGGTTGAATTTCCATCAACCTGTCAGCTGTGCTCGAGTACCTGACCACCAAGATCATGGAGCTGGTGGGAAACTCAGCTTTTGACAATGGGAGGACCAGGATCATCCCCCAACACCGTAAGCTGGCTGTCCGTGGTGACAAGAAGCTCGGCATACTGCTGGGAAGAGTGACCATTGCTAAGGGAGGAATTCTACCCAGCAGTCGGGCAGTTCTGCTACCCAGGAGGACCGAGAGGCCCACCAGATCTGACAGCAAACTGGATCCAGGTGGATGGATCAGTATCTGTGGCCAGATTCTTTGAATTCACTGCAGGAGAACCTTCCTGCCCACAGCTCAGCATCTATAACAACTCTGGAACATCATCCAAGATGATGAGCTACGACAACACTTAATTTCCCTCTGGGATTAATAAAGTATTTTTGAATTGAATTGAATTGACTTGAGCTTTTTTTGTTTCTGTGTTAGGGGGACAGAAAGCACCGGCTTCTATAACGGTGACTCTTCGAGGAGCGCAGCCGAGTCGAGCATCGTCTCTCAGCCCAGCTGGGGAAAATGTAACGGCGGCTCGTACACTTGAGCCCAAGGTGTGTCATTTCACCATCTGAGACACATTTCACTTGGAGCTTTTTATATTTTCTAACGTTTTAGCACAAATTGGCTTCTTTTTGTCTCTTTGGCAGTTCATTAGTATCCTTTGCGTCAGGAAAAGCATCCAGAGTAAAAACAATTGCCAAGTCTTGGTGTGAGTTAGTTGTCTGTGGCGACCCCTGAGGAAGGGAGCAGCCGAAAGAAAACATGTCCTCTAATCTAATGTGCAGTTGTTGGTGTATAAACTGCCTCCACTGAGGACTTGGTGCTTACAATGTGCTTTTAAGTATGGACACAGGTTTACGGTTTGAATAATTTTGCAATAATAAAGTTCATTAGTTCATATTTATTTTGCTTTTCATGGAGAACTATAGCAAATCACGTTTTGTCAAAGAGATGCAGCGCTTGCAACCAGGCATTAAACTATTCTAGCTGATAATATTCTAATACAAGTGATGATGCTGGTTGCACAATTGCAAGGGTGAAACTAACGTCTAATAAAAGTAAAATGTGTAAATTCTTGTAAAGACTGAACAAAAATTGCTTTGTTTGATTGTGTTGTAACAGCAGTAAAAATCCTGCCTCACTGTGGAGATGCAGGATGGGAAGTGTAAGATGGTGCTGAGTCGGTGACATCATGGAGCGACGGCCTGCTGAGGACACCCGGCTCTCCCTGCAGTGATGGACACATGAAGCCCACAACAAGAGAAAAAACTGCCTCACATCCTCCAGAGAGACGGCAGGAGGAGCATGGAGGGGGCTGATGGCTGCTGTTGAGCTGCTGCAATGCTCCGATTTTGTTTTTGTATATCACAAACTCCTGGTCTTCAGACTACAGCTTCAACTCCTCATTGACTAACTCTTGCATTCAGACAAAAAAAGTCAAGACGATCCCTGTGTTTTCTCTACAGGAGATGATTAGATGAAGGTAAACAATGAACTACTTGGAAAAAGCTGCAAAGTCTAAAGAAGGGCGAATGTGTCAAGTTTGGTGACGTCCACAAACCTTCCTTAAAATACAACCTCTGTGTCTGAGTATATTGATAATATCCCATAACAGCCTAATTTAATGTTCTCAACAGGAATGCCAGCTTGTTGTGATTCATGTAAATATCACAGCTGTATTTGTCAGAACATCTCCATGTTGGTTAATTTTAGTGTAAACAATGGTTTAAATATCATCAGCCAACTTTAACATTGCATAACAGTAAGCCATAAAAATGTTTTCCAAGTTTCCTTTTGCTTTTATACCTTTACCTGTTTTTGTGCCTTAAATTTGCCATTAAAGCTTGATTAAAACTCCAATAAATCATCAAATTGTAATACTGTGACAAGTTTTTAAAAAAAAAGCAAGATTAAAGATGCTTCTGTGAGGGAAACAAAATTCCAACCCATCTAGTTCATGCTCTGGTGTTTAGAGTACTATTTCCAATCTGCACTAATAGTTTACATTTTATTTAAACTGCTCTTTTAAAGTAAACTGATTCTGCTTGTCTGACTATGTTCGCTTTGCTAGTTAAAATATTTGTTCGTGTGTGTAAAGCACTTCAGAATATTGCAATGCTTACTAAAGCACGAGTGTGTTTACAGTAGCAGAGTAAATGCAACTCTCTGCAGCAGACTTCCTGTCTTCAGATCCACCCAGAGGCAGCAATCAGGGAGATAAACATTGACGTTGGCATAAAGATAAGAATAGTTTGTCTTTCTTGTATAACTTTTTGTGTGTAATGAACACGAGCAGAATAATCTGCGTTTCCTCCCAGCATCAGCACCTGAAAACATTTTTCTCTTCAGCTCTTATTGTTCCAGGAGCATCAAATGTTTGTAGTCAGCAGATAAATAAGAGTCCATGGTTTGAAAATTAGCTTCGGTTACAGTAAAAAGTCTAAAATTAATACTTAAACACGTAACGCTTCATGTTAGTGCTATAAATCATAAGAATTCTGACTTAATTCAACTCTCGAGAATTGTTTTTCTGTTTGTTAATACAAATTAATTATTTGAGCTACCCAACAATTTTCAGTCAGGTCATCTGGACAGTTTCTTTTTTTTGTGCTGAAGCGTTTCTCCTTCTATCCAGAAGGCTTCATCAGTCAAGGAAACACAGAACAAAACTGATTCTTCCCCCAACAGCTTACTCCAAAGTGGAACAAACCAGTTCTGCTTGTGATAAGATGGTCTCTTTGGTACACCCCCTCCTCCATTGCTGGCCCTCTTCCTTGTTGACAGTCTTGTCAAACTGGTTGAAAACAACAAAGTCCATGCTCAATAATCCAGGTATAAAATCCAACAATTTTCAGTCAGGTCATCTGGACAGTTTCTTTTTTTTTTTTTGGTGCTGAAACGTTTCGCCTTCGGTCCGGAAGTCTTCATCAGTCATCAGGGCAGTTATCAGGGCAAATGAAAATTGGGATAAAATGATAAATACAATAATTGTGTCTCCAATAGGTTGCGAAGCATTAAAGTGCAGAACCACTAGATTGAGGAACAGCTTCTACCCTGAAGCTGTTAGACTCATGAATCTCTCACCAGGATTATCACTGTGAAATAAAGTCACTGTAATCCCACTTTGATTGAACCAGTTTGACACGACTGTCAACAAGGAAGAGGGCCGGCAATGGAGGAGGGGGCATACCAAAGAGACCATCTTATCACAAGCAGAACTGGTTTGTTCCACTTTGGAGTAAGCTGTTTGGGGAAGAATCAGTTTTGTTGTGTGTTTCCTTGACTGATGAAGCCTTCCGGACCGAAGGCGAAACGTTTCAGAACAAACAAACAAAAAAAAGGAACTGTCCAGATGACCTGACTGAAAAATGTTGGATTGTATATGTGGATTATTGAGCATGGACTTTGTTGTTATTTGCCCTTAAGTTTTCTCAGCTGATTATGTTTGAACAATTTTGTTTTCCACATAATGAGCCCCAAATCCTCATTGACACAGATTTTCATGTTATAAATCAGGGTACAGAATGAAGTTAAAATAAGATGTTATTTAGAAAAATGGTCAGAGTCAACAGTATTTACAAAGCAGATTTCTGATACCTTGTTTTCACTTTAAGGAAGATGTTGTAATATGTTAAATACTGAAAGTAGAAGTAGAGATTTTATTTAATTTAGAAACTTGTCACATTAAAGTACAATGACAAAGTACAAAGCACAATGATTGCTTCACTGAAGGTTTTTAATTACATTGTTGAAGCACTGGATGCTAAGGATTATTGTGCTGCAATTTCTTTAGACCAGTCTAAAGCTTTTGACACTGTGGATCATAACATCTTGTGTCATAAACTCTCAGAAATTGGTTTCTCAGAACACACCATTGGTTGGTTCTCTAACTATCTCTCAGATCGGAGGCACTGTGTTCAACATAATGGTACTTCTTCCAGTTATCTAACAGTCAAGAATGGTGTACCACAAGGCTCAGTCTTAGGATCCACCCTCTTTACAATTTACATAGGTAATGTAGGTCAGAGCATCCTTGATGCATCCTTACATTTTTATGCTGAAGATACAGTTGTTTACTGTCGAGCTAAAACAGTGGCTAAGGTTTTCCAGCTTTTGCAATCTGCTTTTGACATCATCCAGTCAGATTTGTTCCATTTCAAACTTGTCCTAAATGCAGGCAAAACCAAAGGGATACTGTTTTCAAACAGGAAGTCCCAGCAGTTCTTCCTTGATTTTATCCTCGAATGGTGGCCCCATTGAGTTTGTCGATCCTATAAATATTTGGGTATCTTGGTCAATTCACATCTCTCTTTTAGCTCTACGGAAAACTTGGTAAGGAAACTGAAAGTTAAACTGGGTTTCTTTTTCAGAAATAGATCCTGTCTATCTCTGAATGCTAGGAAACGTCTTGTGACTGCATCTTTCCTTCAATCCATTGACTATTGTGACATCATTTACATGAACGCTCCTACAAGCACCTTGCAGATGTTGGATGTTGTCTATCATGGTGCACCAACATTCATAACTGGCTGTAACTACCATACCCACCACTGCACCCTGTATTCACTGGTTAACTGGACATCATTAACTTCACGCAGACTCTCTCACTGGTACATTTTCATCTTTAAATCACTTCTTGGTCTGCTGCCTTCATACATCTCCTCCTACATGTCTCTGCATGAGTGCAGCTACAGTGTGCACTCTCAGGACATTATTACCTGCAGTGTTCCCTCAGTGAGAACTGAACTAGGCAAAAAGGCCTTCTCCTACTCCGCTCCTGTTTCCTGGAATATCTTGCAAAAAGACCTGAAGTTGTTGACTTTGACTACTCTAAGGGACTTTAAACATCTGCTAAGTTCGTGACAAAAACCAACACAGACATGTTCCTGTTTTTAATATTTTATATCGCTTTAGTAATTTTTAGTTAATTTTTTTATTGGTTCATGTCTTAGATCTGATTACTATTTTTCTTTTACATTTTTATTGTGGGACATAACTGGGCCCTTGTGTACACAGTCTTGTTCCACCACATGTACCACATGGTTGAATGACAATAAAAAAACTCTGTCTCTGTTTGGTTTTATATAATTTCTTCTATTTACTTTTCATTTTATATGCTTTTTATATGATTGTCTATTGTTGAATGGACAGCACCATAGCACAATTGGTAGAGCTGCTCAGCAAGCAGGTCCCCGGTTCATATCCCGGTCCGGGTGCCTTTCTAGGTGGAGTTTGCATGTTCTCTCCGTGCATGCGTGGGTTTTCTCCGGGTACTCCGGTTTCCTCCCACAGTCCAAAAACATGCATGTTAGGCTGATTGGTAACTCTAAATTGTCCCTAGGTGAGAGTGAGAGAGTGTCTCTATGTGGCCCTGTGATGGACTTGCAACTCGTCCAGGGTGTCCCTCGCCTCTCACACTGTGCTTGCTGGACATGGGCTCTGGCGACCCCTGCGATGCAAAATGGAAGAAGCGGGTAAAAGATAATGGATGGATGGATGGATGGATGTCTATTGTTGTCTGTACCTGGTGTTCTTTGTTTAAATCAGGAGGCTCAATGGGACTAACCTGTATAAATAAAGTTATATATCTTGTACCAGTTTAACAAAATTTTCTGCCACTGCAGATTTCTTCATGCAACACCAAAACATTACTGCTCCTTCAAAAAAAAAAAAAAAAGGTTACATTCTAAAATGTATTTCGTTGTTGTTGTTGTAATGTGAATTGTTGAGCCGACAGGGGGCGCTCTAACAGCAGCACTCTCCTGAAGTTTAAAAAAAAAAAAACCCTGGCGGGTCAAACAGTCTGAGCGCGTGCGTGTGTGGTAGCGCGCGTAGGCGGCTGGTGCCGTGCGCACGTGTGACTTAATTGCATGCGTGCGTAAAGAGAGCGCGCGGGCCACGTAAAAGAGCGAGAAGTAAACACGGAGGAGAGTTGCGTCCAAACTTTATTTCAAGTGGAACTACAACAGTCAGAACTCTTCATGTGGACGCATCAGTGTCCGTGTTGGAGGTCATCCCTGATTTAAAAAAAAAAAAACAAAATCACGCACAGTGGGGACATTGTCTCGCTGCCATCTCATCAAAGTTTCTCTGGAGCTCCAGCTGGAGGAGACACTGAACTCCCCCACCTCCCCCCAGAGATCCAGGAGACACGGGAGAGAGGCTGGAGTTAAAACCCGCCCTCCGGCTGCCTCTCATCCTCCCCCTTTTAAACCAAAATCCTCCCATTTTCTCTCACTGTGTCTCTCTCCTCTGTCTCTCTGTCTCTCCCTCTGTCCCTCTCTCTTCCTTCACCTTTATCCCTCGCCTTTTCGCTCTCCCCCCCTCCTCCCCCCAACCACAATCATGGATCTCTCGGCGAGCTCCTTGCTTCTTCTATCCTGTCTCCTCGGCGTGGTTCTGGCCGTGGATCTGGACGCGCTGGATCCGGGCTACTACGTGGATCCCAGTGCCACATCAGAGGCGATCGACTACAAGGATCCCTGTAAAGCTGGTGAGACTGAACATTTTCTGCTCCCCCGGCGCGTTGTTCAGCTGCTCGCCTCCGTGCACGCACATCCAGGGATGACAGCAGTGCATGTAGTTTTTAACAGGAGCCAGGGAACATTGTGTGCAATTGTTTTGCAAGTGGCAGAGTTTGGAGCTTTTTTTTTTTTTTTAAGAGTCATTTGAAGCCGGAGTGAGGCTGAGGATGAGCACATGAAAAGGCTCCAGTGTGCGCCAAAGTTTTCACTCCAGCTCTTGTTGGGAAAAGTTGCAAAATGTGCAGCTTATAAACAGGAGGGGGGGGGGGGGGGGGGTTAAATTTATAGCTGAAGCGTATCCACTTTTATATTCAGACTTTGTCTTTTTGTTAAGTCTTTTATTTTGAAATAATTGTGTGTTTTGCCAGAAGTGGAGGAGGGGGAGCTTCATCACATATGATGATGTATGAATGTGTTTGTCTTTAAGAAAAGCAGCATCCAGACTATTTGAATTGTCATCAAATGATTTTTCTCTCTCTCTCTTTTTTTTGTGTGTGAGTGTGAGTGTAATCTGAACTCATTGTCTTTCCAAATCCCTCCAGGGTCAGTTTGAACAGATTGTGTTTTCCATTTGGGTAAAGTATTCAGGTTACGGATACAAAGAGCTGGCTTCTGCCAAAATGACCTCTGATGTCCTGGAAGTGGTTCCCAGTAGGGACTGTAAGGTTTTCTGATGTGCCAGACTGTTATAAAACATGATTCAGTTCCCAGCTCTTGGTCTCTCCCCCCACTTCTCGTCTTTTCTGAGTCATAAATGTGTGCTTGTGGGCCTGTTGTGATTCTGTATAAATTCAACTAAGGTCACGCTGCAGATGAAGTGTCTCAGCCACTCGGATGTTGTTGCTCTGTTTACGTTGAGTCATTCAAGTGTTTACAACAATAAAAAAAGGATTCACTGGAAGATTATGCACGGAGTTGGGTAATCTAAGTGTTTTTTTCCCCCTCTTGGCATGGTTTCCAATTAGTTGTTGATATTGACCAGTACGTCTTGGCGGGGACATTCCCACTCGATATGATTATCGACCATGCATGGCTGATGTTTATCTTGGCAATGATGTTAATCGTAGAGTCCAGTTTGTGTGAGCTGTCATTTATTTATGGTTTCCTCTGCCGATAATGGTTTTCCAAAAACTCCCAGTTTACACTTTTTCCAAGCACTCACCTGCTGTTTAATAGACCATATTATTTTACATTATTAGTGTTTATCTTTGATTCTTATATACTGTTTCTTTTTATACTTTATATTTTTGGGTGTAACTGGGACCTTGAGTACACAATTTCATTCCACCTCATGTACCACATGTGATGCAAAAGGCAATAAAGAACCTTGAACCTGCCTTTCGGCACAAATGTCAAATATACCTCCTTTTTTTTATCTGCAGACTCGATCATTCCAGGGTTATGGATTTTTCTCTTCTTTTTCTCATTTGTCAAGCGTATCGCTGAACGGAGTCTATTTGATCGCTTTTTATGGTCACAGGTCAGCATTTTTATGTCCGCCAAATGGAAAATGCTCCCAGCCTTTTGAAATCTAATACAGCCATGCTGTGTGAGGAGCTCGTTTCGTGCCGTCAGCCCACCCCGTCTTTACAGAACTCTCCATCATGTGTAACATCAACCTACAAGTGAATAAATCAGGTGTTTTAATCATCTGGAACGCCTTCTTATCAAGTCAACTCTCAGTGGTTAGTTTATTAAATTTTATTTTGCCATATGGGCCAATGCTCCATTAAATTTAATGTTTACATTTGCAAAGATTAAAGTAAATAACATCTGGCATGTTGGTGGGCTGCATGGAGAAGTGCAAAGAGACTGAACTAATTCAATCTATTCAGGAGCTAACCAGTGGAAAATTCCTCATTTTGCTGAACTCCAAACTTGGCAGCACCCCAGGAAGTCATTTAAGACTCTTAACAAGCCTCTAAGATTAGCCCTGCTCGTTTTCACAATTAAAAATGAATGAGAAGCAGGCGCGCTCGTTGTCTTCTCTGCACTAATGATAACCACAGAAGTCATCACGGGTTTGACTCGCTTCTCTGTGCCAAGCTGCAGACATCCTAATCTACTTAGCGCATCGTTGACGGTTGCTGTCTGAGTGTGTTGGAGCTTCTGTGCCACGGACAGGTCAACTTTTGAACCCCGTATTTCTTCACGAGTCTCCCCTCCAAGTTTTTTTCTTCAGTTCACTTCACACAAACTCGATCATTCACCCTGTGCCAAGGATCAGCACCAGGATCAGGCCAGTCACCCTCAGGTTAGGTGTGTGCAGGCCATTCATGAACGATCCGGGTTGTTTGCGTGGTGCCTCGGCTTCAACTGGTACTTTCTGTCTTCATCGTCATCGTAAATCATTTGTTTATGCATAAAGAGAGATTTTAATTTGAATTCAGTTTATTTATATAGCACCAAATCACAACAGAAGTCGTCTCAGGGCACTGAACAGAAACATTCACATGCATAGAAAAGCCAATTAGTAAAAGTTCTCCAAGGACGCAGACTCGTTGAATCTTCACTTCTTCACAGTCTCCCATCCTGAGCAAGCACAAAGGCAACAGTGGAAAGGAAAAACTCTCTTTTAGCAGGAAGAAACCTTCAGCAGAACCAGGCTCAGGACAAGTGGCCATCTGCTTCAACCAGCTGGGTTTGAGAGGACAGGAAGGAGAACCGAACACAGACTGGCAGGTCCAGATGCAGGGGTACCCCCTATTGGAAGAAAGACAAAAACACATGTCAAGGATATAAATAATTACAAATACAAAACAGGTTGAGTAAGTAAAGACAGCAGCAGTGAAGAAATGTGGTCAGTTTGTCCTATAGCAGTCTAAGCCTATAGCAACATAACTAAGGGATAGCTCAGGAAACCCAAGCCAACACAATTTCCAGTCAGTCAGAGATTCAGAGATTATTCACCTTATAATCTAGCTGTTTTTGCCATCTTATTTTAATTTGTAAAAAAAAATAAATCTGTATGCCTTTTTATAACTGTCCATTGTTGTCATCGTTCTTTGTTGAAATCAGGTCTCTCTTGTAAATGAGTCCTCGAGGCTCAATGGGATTAACCTGTCTAAATAAAGGTTGAATGAATGAAAAAAAATCTTTATTGTCATACACACCACATGTGGAACATGTGGTGGAACGAAATTCTGTACACATGGTCCCAGTTACATCCAACAATAAAATGTAAAAGAAAAACAATAATAAGATCTAAGATATGAACTAAGAAAAACATAAACTAAAAATACACCAAGCACTAGTAGAATAAAAACATTACGTCGAACAGCAGCATGAGCATGAGTCTGTGTGAGCAGATGAGTACGCACGAACACAGCAACATGAAACAGATCAGCAGCAACATGAAACAGATCAGCAGCAACATGAAACAAATCAGCAGCAACATGAAACAAATCAGCAGCAACATGATGTGATTTTTCACAGTGATTATCCTGATTAGAGATCCATGAGTCTAACAGCCTCAGGGTAGAAGCTGTTCCTCAGTTTAGTGGTTCTACACTTAATGCTCTTCAACCTCCTCCCTGAGGGGAGCGGGGCAAAGAGTGTGTGTGCTGGGTGAGTGGGGTCCTTCATGATGCAGGTGGCCCTCTTCCTGCATCTGGAGGTGTAGATGTCTGTGATGGTGGGGAGGCTGACTCCAACATCTTCTGTGCAGCCTTCACCACTCTCTGCAAAGCTTTTCTTTCTGCAGCTGTGCAGCCTCCATGCCACACGTTGATGCTGGAGCACAGGATGCTCTCCACTGCACACCTGTAGAAGGAGGTGAGGACTGAGCTTCCCAGACCAGCTCGTCTCAGCCGTCTGAGGAAGTAGAGTCTCTGATGAGCTTTCTTGATCAGGCTGGTGGTGTTGTTGCTCCAGCTGAGGTTGTCATTCATGTGTACACCCAAGTACTTGTAGCTGGAGACCACTTCCACTGCAGATCCTCCTATGTTTCAGTTTACCAATTTCAGGTCTCTCTTGTAAATGAGTCCCCGAGGCTCAATGGGACTAACGTGTATAAATAAAGGTTGAAAAAAACCCTAACTATAGGATTTATCAAAAAGGAAATAACTTTATTTCACTTGATGTTTACATCACAACAGATATGTTAGTGGAAACACTGATTTGTCCTTACGTATTTCATCAGGATCACCATAAAACTGACGGCCACAAATTTAGCATCTTCTTTTATTATCCGAACCTCTTCAAATGGAATCTGGAAACAGATTATCATCATCCCTCCTGTCCTCTGTTGGCAGTGTGACTACTGAACAGCAGGATTGAGCCTTTAAGCAACATTTAAGCTGATGCTTTTCTTTTCTCGTGGAATGCAGCCTGCGTAGCTGAGACAAGTGAGTGATTTTTTAATCTTTGTTAACATTACAGGACCCCTGCCACTTCTCTCCCTGCAGGGTTCAGGTGATTAGGGGTGCTGATCCATTGGCATGTAGCGCATTAGTCAGAACAATGTTGTGTGTTCTGCGTGTCAGCAGAGCCAAGTAATAACCAAACGTGCGTTACCAGTACATTGAAACCAAGTTCGTGTATAGAGTTGAACTGAACCTGCTAAATTATATCACCTTAGGAATGTTCAAATGGTGCTCCTTTATGATCAAACTCTGATTTTTTTACCATTTCGTTCATCTTTCTTGGCTGGCTCTTGGCATGGCTATTAAAGTTTATTTAAATAAAGTTATGTTGTTTTACTTTCAGATTTAAATGCTTATTTTTGGTAATATTGGCCTCAGAACAAGAAATAACCTAAACAGATAATAATAATTTGAAAAACGTAAGTAAGAAAGAGAAAATCTCTACAAGATGCTGCTGATTTATTCATCTCCGTGACAAACTCGGATGCTGCACAACATTAAAAAAAGACAAACAACTGGCATGCTGACGAATCATTAGATGGAGTTCAGCTGGCAGTATCAGTAATCAGCAGCAGGGATGAGCTGGGAAATCCAATCTGCTAATG